AGTAAAACTATACTTACCTTCAAAACCTCTCTTAAAGAGCACCTTCGGGGGAAAGCATTGCAAAACTGGCCCCGGTAATGGTACAAATCTCAACCTGTCGTACAATGGACAGCTTCCCCCCCCCCATCTATGTATATACTCGCATTTTAGACTCTGTTACTAACTGTATATCTGTAGACTTGGTATGTCTTAAATGTCCGGTTAGGATGTATTAGAACTAAATCTAAAATGAAAATTGTAAATAAGCCATCTGTATGTAAAAAACCACCTGTATGTAAATTGTAAATAAGCCATCTGTATGTCAAATATGTCTTATATGTCTTAAATGATATGATGAATTGGAAATGGGGGACCCTGATGTAAACAAGACGAAAGTCTTTCTCTGGTCTGCATCCCCTTAACAATTGTATGTTTTGAGCTGTACTGTACTGTACCCAATATACAAGCTGTTAATAAACTTTTCAATCAATCAATCAATCTGTAGTTCCTTTATAGCCCAACATTAGCCACATTTAGCTTAGCGGTGGTGACTTGAAGTCATGTGAGCGTGCTGTAGTTCCTTTATAGCCCAACATTAGCCTCCTTTAGCTTAGCGTGGTGACGTGAAGTCATGTGACCGTGCTGTAGTTCCTTTATAGCTCAACATTAGCCACCTTTAGCTTAGCGGTGGTGATGTGAAGTCATGTGACCGTGCTGTAGTTCCTTTGTAGCCCAACATTAGCCTCCTTTAGCTTAGCGGTGGTGACCTGAAGTCATGTGACCGCGCTGTAGTTCCTTTATAGCCCAACATTAGCCACCTTTAGCTTAGCGGTGGTGACGTGAAGTCATGTGACCGCGCTGTAGTTCCTTTATAGCCCAACATTAGCCACCTTTAGCTTAGCGGTGGTGACGTGAAGTCATGTGACCGTGCTGTAGTTCCTTTATAGCCCAACATTAGCCACCTTTAGCTTAGCGGTGGTGACTTGAAGTCATGTGACCGTGCTGTAGTTCCTTTATAGCTCAACATTAGCCACCTTTAGCTTAGCGGTGGTGACGTAAAGTCATGTGACCGTGCTGTAGTTCCTTTATAGCCCAACATTAGCTTTTACTTCAGAAATCATAAAGTGGTGTCAATATGTGGAGATTATTCTGCTGAACTAAACGTGTGAGATAAAGAAACGTTTGTCTGACTCAGAGATGATTTTAATACTAACCATAACTAAAGCCTTGAGGTTTAGTTCTCATTCAGAAACAAAGCAAACACAACATGTTCCAACCAGGAGAAACACTTTTGAAATCAGCTCACTCTCAGAGTTTCATGGATTATTAAAGAAGTTTTATTATTTTTTTGGTAGGGAGACCAGGGACAGTTGGAACACGGGTTGGTTGTAACACCTTCAATATCTCCAATCACAAACAAGCTAGAGTGATGACACTCACTCTGCACATGCGCAGTTAGATGGTGAGATCGATGAGAAAAAACGGAGCCACGTTTGAATTTCTCGCGTAAGATATCGGCAAAAGTGTTTCTGAGGTAAAATATTAACTAAAATGATATGATGTATTTTTTGGATACTGTCTTGAGTTCAAATGTCTAGGAATCCAAACTAGTATTATTAGAATCACTGTTTTGTAAGCTACACATATAACTAGCTAAATATGGGTCAAGCTAGCAATCAGGCAGGTTCACAGGGGGTGAAAGCAAGACTGGTGGTCCTGGGACGGTTGTAACGGGACGGTTGTAACATGGCACATTTACAATGATGGCTCATTTGCTTGAATTATCAATTGTTCATTCAAGCATACAGTTGTATTGTTGATTGGTGTGCATTGTCCCTGTAAAAATAAACAGAATAAAATACTGTACAGTAGGCCTAAAGTGTGTGTGTGTGTTTACAGTATGTCAAATGTCAGAAAGAGGAAGACAGACAGGGGAGTGCCACTTGCTCTGCTGCAGATGGGCTCAAATGAAGTTCAGGAGGGCAAATCATTCAGGGAAGTGGCAAAGTCCCTGGATATATGCCATGTCACCCTGTACCGGTTCCATAAGAAGAGGCTGAGGTTGGAGAGTCAGACAAACCCAACAAGAAGCAGAAGATACAGGACTCATCTGATGAAGATGAGGCCCAATACTGCATTGTGTGCCTGGAGAGCTACTCCAGGTCCAAGGAGATCTGGCTGCAGTGTTGCTCCTGTAAAGCCTGGGCACACAAGGACTGCACAGATGGAAGTGCCTTTTACACCTGCCACAACTGCGAATCTGATTAATTCTGGTGTTCTGTTTCAAGTTCTGTTCAAGTTCTGTTAATTGTTCATTGTTTGTTGGAGGATGTGTGAAACCCCATTCAAATCTTGTTGCCTTAGAATTTGACAGCTTTCCCTATTTTTTGTCATGTAGTGTGAAAAAAGGTAACCGTTATTAACATGTTACAACCGTGCCTGGCATGTGCTACAACTGTCCCTGTACACAAGGACAGTTGTAACAGTTGAGTTTTTTTTTTAAATACATTTTCCAACCTGTACTTATTTCATAAAAACATCTTAAATACATTGTTTCAGTAGCTGACATATTGATAATGTATAATATAGCAAAATGGCTATCCTATTGTAAATGGTTTTTTACTTATTGGGGAAAAACCCAAAAAGTGTTGCAACTATCCCTGGTCTCCCCTACATAGCAAATGACAGCGATGCATTTATCACAGTGATGGTGAACATCTTCATGATTTCTGGAGGATTCTGCTGTGTTCAGAATTTAAGACGATTTGCTTCATCGTAATCTCATGGAAACCAAATTGGTCAAAACTTTGTGATGCAAAATGTAAGAAAAATCATCAAGAAATCAAGAACAATCTTCAACTAAAAAATGTGTTAAAAAAACATTAAGCATTCTTCAGAACAAAATCAAGAACATTCTGACTACATAACCTGTAAATCCATCACAACAATATTTTTGCTAAAATCTTAATCGGCGAAAACTAAATTCTTCAGAAATGCAAAAAGAATTCTCAACAAAATCAATCAAAATTCTTATGAAGCAAAAATATTTCAGTCAGACAACTCACGTGTTTCTTTAACATGTTTATTAGAAGCAGCATATAGTTGAGTTTGGCGACTAGGCTCGGGCATCATCACTCCACCAGTGGCGAGCCGTCAGGGCCCTCTAGGCCCTCTGTGAGGGCCTAAGATATTCCAAAAAATAATATTTAAAAACATTAAAAAAAAATAATAAAATAACATTTCCAAATTAATAAATCCTTCGAATCTGCCTGTTCAGTCTCTGTTTGAATGTGGGTTACATGAAAGAAGCGTGTCTGGCCCTCTCTGCGATTCACAGAGGGCCCGCTATAGAGAGGCGAAGTCCCTCCCCTTCCGGTGGACCTCCATGGGACCTTATTTCGGAAAAGTTATGCATTGAAGTCAATGGAGAGAGAAAGATTATCTTTGGATCCCGTTTGAATTGTGCCATGAATTACACATATGATGTTTGTCAATCTTAAAAAATAATTTCCATGTCAAAAAAGTCACAGTTTGTCGTAAAACTGTTGAAATATAAGACTATGAAAAATACGTAACTAGAAAGACTACAAATCCCAGAGTCGCGTAAGTGATGTCACAATTGTTTTCCTCCACCATTCAGATACCTAAGATCAGCGCCATATAGATATAATCTATCTATATGGCGCTGGCTAAGATAAGATAACTTTAACAAGATGCCTGTGTGCTTAGTACCAGGTTGGTATCATACCAGCAATGGGTCTTGCTCGTTCTTTTGCTTCCCGTCTGATGAAAGGACCAGGAGTGGCTTGATCAAGCTAGCTACCTAGCTAGTAGCAAGCACGTTAGTTAGCATTACAGCCTTGTCATTTGTATTAGCCTTAACATGAAGTAACATTAAGTAACCCAAAATGTTAAACAGTAAGAGTAGTAGTCATATTTCGTGAACCCTTTGAAGAGTACTGTCACACCGGTGTGATCATTCTATAATACACCATTTAAGCCCGGGGGAGAAATGCTAACGCTAACGTTAGCATCGGCGATCTTCTCTACTTCATGCTATCTGCACAAATGGTTGACATTAAACATTAAAACGACCAGGCAGTTCAGAGAGAATCAAAGGAAGGCAGGCAGGCAGCTTTGCATGACATTCTTCAGGACGTGTTTCATTGTGGTGATAGTGAGGGTAGCCAATCGTTTTGTTGACAAGACAGTAGTGACGGCCATCTTGGTGACGTGTGTTGTTGACCAGAGATGTAGTTCATTGAGCGTTTCACACAAACAAAAGTGTTACTTCACAGTTTTACGACACATTTTTTTTTTTTTGACTTTCAAAATTATCTTTTAAATTGACAAACATCATATGTGTAATTCGTGGCACAATTCAAACGGGATCGAAAGATAAGTTTTCTCTCTCCATTGACTTCAATACATCATTTTTCCGAAATAAGGTCCCATGGAGGTCCACAGGAAGGGGAGGGACTTCGCCACTCTATTGTAACTGAACGAGAGAGTAATGTCAAATGACAGTATAATTGACCAATCATATCTTCCCTCTATATGGCGCTGGGTTTTATTATCGCGGACTTTATGACAAGTTCCGCCCGCTGTAAAACTTTTCTTGTTTCCATAGCAACAACAACTTCCTGTCAACAGCATGAACTCGCCTTCAAAACAAAAGCATGCCAAATTACACTTAAGACATACAACTGCAACGAAAGTAACAAACACAATGCAATATCATTTTCAATGTCAAAGAACACAAATTGGGTTCACAGGTGTTGTTTTGTGTGGTAGAGGGTCGCTGTCATTGATGCGTTTTGCACCCTGGGCCGTTGTTTTGATATTCCGCTGAAGTATACGCTGTGACGTAATAACTATTTTTTTTTGCCTAGGTATAAAGCTCACGGCTCGCCACTGCACTCCACAGATATACATACGATGAGTGATGATTAAATAACTAACCCCCAAAACTGCGTGGAGATTAGATACTATCCCCCAAAACTGCGTAGCCCGAGCCTGACACTGGTGATGTAAGACTGATAAGTAGAGGGCCTGGCGAGCTGCCACATGGCCATTCCCCCTAAGCACAGCGGCTTTAAGGGGAATGTACTACCTAGCATATAAGGTTCATCCCAACTACAAGCATACAATCAGCATAGAAGGTTCATCCCAACTACAAGCATACAATCAGCATATAAGGTTCATCCCAACTACAAGCATACAATCAGCATCTAAGGTTCATCCCAACTACAAGCATACAATCAGCATATAAGGTTCATCCCAACTACAAGCATACAATCAGCATCTAAGGTTCATCCCAACTACAAGCATACAATCAGCATAGAAGGTTCATCCCAACTACAAGCATACAATCAGCATAGAAGGTTCATCCCAACTACAAGCATACAATCAGCATATAAGGTTCATCCCAACTACAAGCATACAATCAGCATCTAAGGTTCATCCCAACTACAAGCATACAATCAGCATAGAAGGTTCATCCCAACTACAAGCATACAATCAGCATAGAAGGTTCATCCCAACTACAAGCATACAATCAGCATCTAAGGTTCATCCCAACTACAAGCATACAATCAGCATAGAAGGTTCATCCCAACTACAAGCATACAATCAGCATATAAGGTTCATCCCAACTACAAGCATACAATCAGCATAGAAGGTTCATCCCAACTACAAGCATACAATCAGCATATAAGGTTCATCCCAACTACAAGCATACAATCAGCATAGAAGGTTCATCCCAACTACAAGCATACAATCAGCATAGATGGTTCATCCCAACTACAAGCATACAATCAGCATAGAAGGTTCACCCCAACTACAAGCATACAATCAGCATAGAAGGTTCATCCCAACTACAAGCATACAATCAGCATAGAAGGTTCATCCCAACTACAAGCATACAATCAGCATATAAGGTTCATCCCAACTACAAGCATACAATCAGCATATAAGGTTCATCCCAACTACAAGCATACAATCAGCATATAAGGTTCATCCCAACTACAAGCATACAATCAGCATAGAAGGTTCATCCCAACTACAAGCATACAATCAGCATATAAGGTTCATCCCAACTACAAGCATACAATCAGCATATAAGGTTCATCCCAACTACAAGCATACAATCAGCATATAAGGTTCATCCCAACTACAAGCATACAATCAGCATAGAAGGTTCATCCCAACTACAAGCATACAATCAGCATATAAGGTTCATCCCAACTACAAGCATACAATCAGCATATAAGGTTCATCCCAACTACAAGCATCCAATCAGCATATAAGGTTCATCCCAACTACAAGCATACAATCAGCATAGAAGGTTCATCCCAACTACAAGCATACAATCAGCATAGATGGTTCATCCCAACTACAAGCATACAATCAGCATATAAGGTTCATCCCAACTACAAGCATACAATCAGCATATAAGGTTCATCCCAACTACAAGCATACAATCAGCATAGAAGGTTCATCCCAACTACAAGCAAACAATCAGCATATAAGGTTCATCCCAACTACAAGCATACAATCAGCATAGAAGGTTCATCCCAACTACAATCATACAATCAGCATAGAAGGTTCATCCCAACTACAAGCATCCAATCAGCATAGAAGGTTCATCCCAACTACAAGCATACAATCAGCATAGAAGGTTCATCCCAACTACAAGCATACAATCAGCATAGATGGTTCATCCCAACTACAAGCATACAATCAGCATAGAAGGTTCATCCCAACTACAAGCATCCAATCAGCATAGAAGGTTCATCCCAACTACAAGCATCCAATCAGCATAGAAGGTTCATCCCAACTATAAGCATACAATCAGCATAGATGGTTCATCCCAACTACAAGCATACAATCAGCATAGAAGGTTCATCCCAACTACAAGCATACAATCAGCATAGAAGGTTCATCCCAACTACAAGCAAACAATCAGCATAGAAGGTTCATCCCAACTACAAGCATACAATCAGCATCTAAGGTTCATCCCAACTACAAGCATACAATCAGCATAGAAGGTTCATCCCAACTACAAGCATACAATCAGCATAGAAGGTTCATCCCAACTACAAGCATACAATCAGCATATAAGGTTCATCCCAACTACAAGCAAACAATCAGCATAGATGGTTCATCCCAACTACAAGCATACAATCAGCATAGAAGGTTCATCCCAACTACAAGCATACAATCAGCATAGAAGGTTCATCCCAACTACAAGCATACAATCAGCATAGAAGGTTCATCCCAACTACAAGCATACAATCAGCATATAAGGTTCATCCCAACTACAAGCATACAATCAGCATAGAAGGTTCATCCCAACTACAAGCATACAATCAGCATCTAAGGTTCATCCCAACTACAAGCATACAATCAGCATAGAAGGTTCACCCCAACTACAAGCATACAATCAGCATATAAGGTTCATCCCAACTACAAGCATACAATCAGCATAGAAGGTTCATCCCAACTACAAGCATACAATCAGCATAGAAGGTTCATCCCAACTACAAGCATACAATCAGCATAGAAGGTTCATCCCAACTACAAGCATACAATCAGCATAGAAGGTTCATCCCAACTACAAGCATACAATCAGCATATAAGGTTCATCTCAACTACAAGCATACAATCAGCATCTAAGGTTCATCCCAACTACAAGCATACAATCAGCATAGAAGGTTCACCCCAACTACAAGCATACAATCAGCATAGAAGGTTCACCCCAACTACAAGCATACAATCAGCATAGAAGGTTCACCCCAACTACAAGCATACAATCAGCATAGATGGTTCATCCCAACTACAAGCATACAATCAGCATCTAAGGTTCATCCCAACTACAAGCATACAATCAGCATATAAGGTTCATCCCAACTACAAGCATACAATCAGCATAGAAGGTTCATCCCAACTACAAGCATACAATCAGCATAGATGGTTCATCCCAACTACAAGCATACAATCAGCATCTAAGGTTCATCCCAACTACAAGCATACAATCAGCATAGAAGGTTCACCCCAACTACAAGCATACAATCAGCATAGAAGGTTCACCCCAACTACAAGCATACAATCAGCATAGATGGTTCATCCCAACTACAAGCATACAATCAGCATCTAAGGTTCACCCCAACTACAAGCATACAATCAGCATAGAAGGTTCACCCCAACTACAAGCATACAATCAGCATAGAAGGTTCACCCCAACTACAAGCATACAATCAGCATATAAGGTTCATCCCAACTACAAGCATACAATCAGCATATAAGGTTCATCCCAACTACAAGCATACAATCAGCATATAAGGTTCATATTTGCCCTGTACCTTTGGTGGATCACAGTTATAAATAAAGACCATATTTGTTTTTATTTTAAAATGCAATTGAACAACATTTTTTTAAATTAAATCACGATAGGACAAATGTACAAATAAAGGGTTTTTCTTAAGTATTTTTTAGAGCATTAACAACATTGATGTGAGTCTACACATCACTTCAGCCCTGTTGACACTGATCAGCGTCCAATCAGTGACTGATACACAGGAAGGAGGCGTGTGGAGCGGCTGGTGCTTCCTTGATCCTCTCCTTAAGATGGAGAAACACCTTCCTGTGTTGTGTTCGAAAGCTGTTTCCGTTCCAGAACACTCCAAAATAATGACTAGTCAAAGTCAACTTTAATGTCAATGTTTCTGTGTGTGTGTACAGACAGAGAGATCGAACTAACGTTTCCAACAATCCCTAATACTAAATACAATAATACAAATATACAAATATGTAAACAAATAACACAACTCTGTGGGGGTCTTTCTTTTGTCTTAGGTAATACTATAATGTGTTTAAATTAGTCTCAAATGTTGCACAGTCGACATGCGGTCCATATATGGTCTTTCCACACACACACACACACATACACACACACACACGCACACACACACGCACACACACACGCACGCACGCACGCACGCACGCACGCACGCACAAACACACACACAAATCAAAAGTCTCTCTTTATATTATGTTAAGCTCGTTTGTTTTTGTTGTGTTGGTTTTATTAAGTGTTGTTGTTATTGTTCTGGTATTATCTCACCTTCAAACTTCTGGAAATAAAAACTATAACAATATTACGTGATAAAAAATAACCGAGTCACTTTTGAACATAAAACTGCAAAGACCACAATGCAACGCGACATTGCACCAGCCAATGGGAGGAGCAGCTGGTCAGAAAGCGGCGGGAAGTTACAAACTGCATACCGGAAGCAGCAGCTCGCGGACACTTTGAGGGAAAACGTTTCTACCGATTTTACGGTTTGACATTAAACCGGAGAAAACAGGTTAAAATCACCGGGAGGATTAAGAGAGAGAGATAGAGAGAGAGAGAGAGAAGAGAGAGGGAAGAGAGAGAGGGAGAGAGAGAGAGAGAGACTAACGGCAGAGAGAGAAACGGGAGGAAGAAGAGGAACATGGCGGACTCTACAGGACGCTGTTGAGAGGAACTGTTCTACTTTATTGGTTGACCTACTGTTTTACCTCACTGTAACCTACACATGCTATGACATCATGTACTCTTCTACTGTGTGTGTGTGTGTGTGTGTGTGTGTGTGTGTGTGTGTGCTGTGTGTGTGTGTGTGTGTGGTGTGTGTGTGTGTGTGTGTGTGTCTGTGTGTGTGTGTGTTGTGTGTGTGTGTGTGTGTGTGTGGTGTGTGTGTGTGTCTGTGGTGTGTGTGTGTGTGTGTAGATGAGCGTCTGACAGCAGAGCAGATGGATGAGCAGAGGATTCAGAGCGTCGCCTATCAGTACCTCTGCAGACTGGAGGAGGCCAAGAGGTGAGACTGTGTGTCTGTGTCTCACCTGTGTGTCTGTGTCTCACCTGTGTCTGTGTCTCACCTGTGTGTCTGTGTCTCATCTGTGTGTCTGTGTCTCACCTGTGTGTCTGTGTCTCACCTGTGTGTCTGTGTGTCTGTGTCTCACCTGTGTGTCTCATCTGTGTGTGTGTGTCTGTGTCTCACCTGTGTGTCTGTGTCTGTTTCTGTGTGTCTGTGTCTCACCTGTGTGTCTGTGTCTCATCTGTGTGTCTGTGTCTCATCTGTGTGTCTGTGTCTCATCTGTGTGTCTGTGTCTCACCTGTGTGTCTGTGTCTCACCTGTGTGTCTGTGTCATCTGTGTGTCTGGTGTCTCACCTGTGTGTCGTGTCTACCTGTGTGTCTCACCTGTGTGTCTGTGTCTCATCTGTGTGTCTGTGTCTCACCTGTGTGTCTCACCTGTGTGTCTGTGTCTCACCTGTGTGTCTGTGTCTCATCTGTGTGTCTGTGTCTCATCTGTGTGTCTCACCTGTGTGTCTGTGTCTCATCTGTGTGTCTGTGTCTCATCTGTGTGTCTGTGTCTCATCTGTGTGTCTCATCTGTGTGTCTGTGTCTCACCTGTGTGTCTGTGTCTCACCTGTGTGTCTGTGTCTCACCTGTGTGTCTGTGTCTCATCTGTGTGTCTGTGTCTCACCTGTGTGTCTGTGTCTCACCTGTGTGTCTGTGTCTCACCTGTGTGTCTGTGTCTCACCTGTGTGTCTGTGTCTCATCTGTGTGTCTGTGTCTCACCTGTGTGTCTGTGTCTCATCTGTGTGTCTGTGTCTCACCTGTGTGTCTTGTCTCACGTCTGGTCACCTGTGTGTTGTGTCTCACTGTGTGTCTGTCTCCCCTGTGTCTGTGTCTCACCTGTGTGTCTGTGTCTCACGTCTGTGTCTCACCTGTGTGTCTGTGTCTCACCTGTGTGTCTGTGTCTCATCTGTGTGTCTGTGTCTCACCTGTGTGTCTGTGTCTCACCTGTGTGTCTGTGTCTCACCTGTGTGTCTGTGTCTCATCTGTGTGTCTCACCTGTGTGTCTGTGTCTCATCTGTGTGTCTCATCTGTGTGTCTGTGTCTCACCTGTGTGTCTGTGTCTCACCTGTGTGTCTGTGTCTCACCTGTGTGTCTGTGTCTCATCTGTGTGTCTGTGTCTCACCTGTGTGTCTCACCTGTGTGTCTGTGTCTCACCTGTGTGTCTCACCTGTGTGTCTGTGTCTCACCTGTGTGTCTGTGTCTCATCTGTGTGTCTGTGTCTCACTGTGTGTCTGTTGTCTCAT